ATGTCAGAAAAAGGAATATTAGATCTTATTCTAATTACACTGTTGGGTGGCTTGTTTTTTCCCCTGTCCATTTCTGTTGCTTGACATGGATAAAACATGATAAAAAAAATATTTGAGTACAAGCACAGTATGAGCATTCATGTTTGTGTACTACGTGCATGTCATCCAGCCTAGTCTTCAATCTATCTCCTTTGCAGCATAAAGAAACACCCTGCTAGGGTCAGTTGATCACATTACCTGACCCTAATGTAGATTAAAGAGAGAGACCCAATTTATGGTGGAACTTCACTTTGACCTCACTCCTTGACATATCCCTCATAAACCTGGTTGTAAAAAACTCTTGTAAAAAATAGCATGAAATAACTGTATAATCGCAACAATTTTTATGGATAAAATGATTGCATTAGATTCGGTGGGAGTTTGATGGATCAGGATGGAAGATTTCAGATTTATTCCTGCTGAAAAGATAGAGATACTGAAGTGGCAAATGTAATGAAGGGTTTGGCCAGCATGCTTTATCCAGTAAAAATTATGGAAATCCTGTGTTAAGCTTATATGTACTAACACAATGCCCTACATATGAAAATATATCGGGTTGTAACATAGAATTATTGTTTATCAGACTGTAGCTGTGTTTGCTGATGGGTAACCAATCCTTTATTTTTATGGTCCGCTATTGCACAATATAGTAAAAGGTTGAACTATTTAAAGTAAACCTGACTCACCTTTTTGTCTTCAGGTTTATAGAGCTGTTATCTAGGTAACAATTGACATAATTGGATTATCTTCAGACCACCTTGAGTGCCCTAATATGCAAATATTGGTCCAATGTCTCATAAGTGTGCTGCAGCTTTCTCCTACCCGCCACTCCTTTCTATTGATCCCTTAGGCAAGCCATAGATGATGCAAGATGCCTGAAGGAAAATCCCTCCTATGGAGCTATTGTGTTATGCCAAGCAACCTTCTCAGGCAGATAAACACAATTACTGCTATCAGCTATAGCCATTGGCAGCAATTGCATCTGAAAATTCCAGCAGGCTGGTTGTACTGAAGTCGATCAATGGATCAACTTCTGTACCACCAGCCCACCCATAGATAGATCAAATCTTGGCTGGTTCAGCTAGAATGGCTGATATTTGATCCATCTATGGCCGGCTTAAGGCTGCCAATCATTTGGTGGCAACTAGAAAGGTGCTGGGAGTGGGAGGTGGTGGGCTAGAAGTAAACCATGGAAGCTGTTGTCTATATTTGTATATTAGGGTGCTGAGAATTTAAATCTTCTGAGATGCTCTCAATATCCTCTAACAATGTGTACAGGAACCTTGAGGAGCTACCTAATCTGTGAACCTTGGGAACACTTTAGAAGGTGTGATGAGCCTTAGGCAGGTTGGAAACTGCTTGAAAAAGTTAAGTTTTGGCCCAGGCTGGTTTGAGAAGAGGTTAAGTTCTCTGCTGCTGGTGTGTGGAATTTTTGGGTTTCAGTCGGCCCATCTTTGATATAAATTGAGGGAAGGCTGAGGCCCAAATGCCGCTATGTTGTACCAGATGTTGTACCAAAAACATCTCAAGAAAGGCAAGGAGGAGCCCTGTGTGTCATCATACCATACAGGGTATCTGGGTACCACAAAGTATGGACTTTGCCACCATGGAACAACTTTCAAGGTATGCCTGGGCCATATATCAGTTAGTCAGGCTTAGGGAATGAATTGTTGCACTTTCATCATGTTTTCACTGAATCTGATCAGTAAAGACTGTTCAACTTTGTAATTTAAGGGGGTGTATATTGGGGCTGGTGTATTAAAAGAACCTAGGTCTGTAAAGTACTAGAAGGTTATGAAGAACACCACACTACAGTGTTAATGCAGTATGCTAAAAATGAGCAAGGTCATTGCTAAGGATAACTAAGTACACATTCAAGACACAAAGCAACCAGTCGAGGTGTGGTACCTGGGTAAGCTGATATATCCTTTAGTAGCGAGGGAGCTGCTATTTGGGATCCCTCACTAGCAGTCCATCTCCCATAGCAACTGGGAACAGACCAGTGTTATGGAGGCCCTCACCCTAGCTGTATGGTACAGAAGAGGAAATGTTAACAAAGGCTATGCATAAGATTCTCACTATATGTCCAGCGGGATTTCATTCTGTTGCTGGGAGTGAGGTTAGAGAGGTATGCTGGCTCGTGAAGGTGGCCGGCTCTGACCACCAATCTGAATACAACACATACAAGTCACTTGGAGTAGAGCTATGGGGCAACACTTAATAAAGAAGCCCGGCTTCATTACCACATGCAGTGGGGGCTCATCTCTGAGTCGGGAAACTGCCTTAATGTTAGACTGTACATATGACTGCAATTTCCACCTAGTCCTGGGCACTGATGAGTGCGCCTTCGGGCAAGGTACCCCTAGTGCAGGAGTGCATAGGCCCCGTCCACGAGATGGCGTAGTTGGACATGCTCATCACCATACGAGTCCACCAGTTCAATTTAAGTAGCCCTAGACAAAAGTTAATGTTGACTTACTATACTTAGCACAAAACTTAAACTTAAGTGCATGTCTGGGAAATGAATCCTTCTGGCCATAAATTATATTGTTTCCTTGTATGTTGACAGACAACTTTCAATTATATAAGGACACTGAGCCAGCCCATATGGTAATGCCAGTGAATAGAGCTCTTACATCTTTTAATTGCTAAGAAGTTTTAAAGCTGTGCCAAAACTCATGTTCTTTTATCCTGAAATGCCTTCAGGTTTTCGTGTTAAACACTCTACTTATACCACATACTACCACAAAAACTCAGTTCCCCTGTTATTATATTTTGCTGTGGTTTTCTGTAATTTTATTTATATCACCCATCTGGTCATATTGAGTTATAGACGTACACGTGTATACCTAGATGTTGGCAATTGTGCTGATTAGTGAAAATGTAAAGCAAACGTATATTGTATTTTTGAGTGCATATTTTTAGTCATTATTACAATGCTTACCTTTTTATAGAACTATTGAATTTTCAAATTCTACCAGCTTGCACTTCCAATATTTTTTAGTGCATTAAAGAGATGCCAAAGGCTTACCATAATTTTTGTTTCTAGATAACAGACATGTACTTACTTGCTCTGAGCAAGGTTTTTGCACATAGCAGCCCCAATTCTCCTCTTCTTAAGAACCCCCCCTTCCTGGCGTTGTGGGATCCCCCCCACCAAGCCGCTTGCTATGGGGCCTCGTATGCATGCTCGCTCCCAAGCCCTGGTCTTGTATGTCCATAAGACACACAAAACAGGGTTGGGCCCCACCTCTGCTCCCTCCTCACTGGCTGTGATTGACTCCCACTGCTGTTTATGAGCCAATGAGGAGGCAGAGAGCCGGGGCAGTAGCTGCTCTTATGCACATCACTGGATCAGGATTGGGCTCAGATAAGTATTAGGGGGGACTGTGGGCGAAGCTGCATATGGAATGTTTTTTACTTTCTTGCATAGAATGCATGAAGGTAAAATATCTTCAGGCTTTACAACCACTTTAGAAACCTACTCACACTATTGCATTGCTGTAATGCATACAATGTGCTACAATGCATGTAACCTGTGCTTGTGAGTAACAGCACTGCACAATGAGTCTTAACACACTAATGTGTGTTGTGCTGTCAGAAATACTGCATGCACCTTTTGTTGAAGGGCTCTGGTGGGTTAGGTTGCATATTCAAATGTAATGGCTGCCTTAATTCAACATACATTAATACGCAGCATGACGTGTGTTGACACGTGCAGTAATGCAACTCAATAGTATGAATAGGCCTTAACTATAGAGATTTGTAGATTAAAGGTAGCCTCCTGTGGCTTAGTACACTTTCACAATGTCTCTTTTTAAAAGGAAAACTGTGCAGAGTGAATTTTCACTTTGTGTCACCTCGTTTATTAAGAAAAGAGAACAGTTTCATATTTAGCTAATTTCCCAATCCCCAAGGATCATCTATTTTACCAAAACCATTAGCAGATATGAGGCTAATGCTGCTGTGGGGGTTTTTTTTTGTCTGCAGTTGTTATAAATGCATTACTTTTCAAAAAAGCCAGATTTTAGGACAGCCTGCAAAAATAAATGTTTTTTTTCTGTCTGACAGTGAAAAACTTTATTAGGCTTTTGGGAAATCTTATGGCATTTGATGGTTTAGTAGTGCACTAGTTGTTTTTATGTATTTGAAATTTCTGTCTGTGTGTCTTTAATTACCCATTGCATTTAGCATCCTGCTTTCCAAAACTATATTTTTCACAATTAAGGTTAAGCCATTTCCATGCTTGAAGTGTTACTAAACCCACAACAGTAAAATCAGTCTGTATATGCAGTAAAACATGCTTGTTATACTCACTGTGAAACCTAAGGGGTTAATGCTCTGCATTGTGTAAAAAGGCTGTTTGATCCTGACTTGTCTGCCACTCCTCTTGCTCAAATGTTCATGTCTTATCTCCTGATAAGACAGACTGAACCATAGCCATGCACACATGCTCAGTTTGTGTGTATTGCTAGAGAGATTTTTTTTTTTTTCTTAGAGTGCATGTGATCAGCACAGGGCCAATCAGCACTGTCCAGACAGAGGTCAGGGGTTCTGCATCCTGCTAGAGCAGAAAGAAAACTCTTCCTACAAGCTTTAACCAGTGCTCTGCTGAACACTGATAGACGTTACAAGACTGCTCTAACTGCTGATGAGAAAAGGTATTTAGCAGTTTATATTTACTAAAATAATTGAACTTCCATGTTCTGTGTACAGTGGGACACCAGATATAGTGAATGCAGGGTCATGGGTTTGGTAACACTTTAATACTTTTAGTTTGATAACAATGTGTGCTCATTAGTATTGAATTTTAGACTGTCACAAAATATCTAATTGTCCGTTTTTGTCTGTTTCTGTTTAGGATAATGAAATGCACAATGGGAATGAAGATACTTACAAGTGACTTCAGGCTTTGCCACAAAAATATGAAATGGCATTATTGCTTCTAGAGTTTTCTATGGATGCTGTTAAAGCCCATACAGGATTCGATAGAACCTTCCAGACCTGGGATGGAAAATTACAGCAATTACAATATTAACTGTTCCATTGATGACTCCTTTAAATATAACCTCTATGGAGCAGTTTATAGTGTGGTATTTATCTTGGGGTTAATCACAAACTGCGCTTCCCTTTGCGTCTTCTGCTTCAGAATGAAGATGCACAATGAAACTGCCATTTATATGACCAATCTTGCTGTGTCTGACCTACTGTTCGTATTCACCCTCCCTTTTAAAATATTTTATAACTTTAACCGCCACTGGCCCTTTGGGGACACTTTATGTAAGATATCAGGCACAGCATTTTTGACTAACATTTATGGAAGCATGCTTTTCCTGACCTTTATCAGTGTGGATCGATTTTTGGCCATTGTCTACCCATTTCGGTCTCGAACCATTAGAACACGAAGGAATTCTGCAATAGTATGTGCCGGAGTTTGGATCCTAGTCCTCAGTGGAGGCATCTCTGCTTCCCTTTTCTCCACCACCAATAAGTCCACAACAAGCACCACTTGTTTTGAAGGCTTCTCCAAAAACATATGGAAAACCTATTTGTCAAAGATTACCATTTTTATAGAAGTTGTTGGGTTTCTTATTCCCTTACTGCTGAACCTGACTTGCTCTTCATTGGTTCTGAGGACGTTAAGAAAGCCTGCGACCTTGTGCCAGATTGGAACCAACAAAGAAAAAGTTCTGAAGATGATTGTTGTCCATATTGCCATTTTTGTTGTGTGTTTTGTCCCATACAATTCCATCCTTTTTCTTTACGCTTTGGTTCGATCACAGGCAATAGAAAACTGTTCAGTTGAGAGATTTGCAAGAACAATGTACCCCATAACTCTTTGCATCGCAGCCACAAACTGTTGTTTTGACCCCTTTGTCTACTACTTCACTTCCAAATCCTTTCAAAAATCATTTAACATCAACCCCCTCATAAAAATGGATACCTTGTTCAAGATCGATTCTTCGGCAAAGATCGCTTTTCCAGCAATGCAGGAGGACCTAACTGAACAGATAAACATTAACAATGGAGGAGAGCTCATTCCAGAATCTAATTTTAAGGACTAGAATTATGTGCTGTAGTATAAAATACAACAAAAGTTTCTAGTGACTGGAAACTATAATTTATAATGAAGGCTTTGAGCTCCTTGGTCAGTATTATAGATGGTATAAATGTGTATAAACATAGAGTTTTAATTTAATTAGGAAAAAAAATGGTATACTGTAAAAAGCTACAAGCGTGGTTTGGTCACAAAAAGATGTTTTAATGTTTTTTTTTTGTGTAAATATTCAACAGAACGTATTGTAGATGTATGTGTTCCATTGACAGTGTTCTAGTGTTTATGGCATTTTGAATGTGAAAAAAATGATCATATACTACATTCTTGGCATTTTGATTTCTTTTATATGTTCCTCTAAATTGGTAGGTTGGAACAAGAAAAAGTTTTGTTTTAGCAAGTCTATGGCATTGTTCTCATGGTAAGTTTTTCAATCCAGAAGACAGACTTATACTTTATAAGTAAAAGCCTGCAAATATCCATTTTTTTTAATAAACAAGTCAACAAGAGCAATCAAAATCTCAATAGCTCACTTACCTTAGGACATCATCATTGGAGCAATTATTGATATACTTTGTTGAATATTTCTTCTTTATATAGAAATTAGTCTCAGTATACATGTAAGCTTTCACAGTATTTCATTGCAGGTTTGTACTTGGCATGCAACATATGGTGGACATTAGCTGCAAGGACTCCTTTTAATAGTTTGAGTGTTTCCCAACAACTGACTCCTGTCTGGTTTGTAGTAGAGTTCAGACATGTATGTGTGGACATCTATTTTCCAGTGAAGTACGCTGTGGCATTCCGGTCACATGAGAGATAATATAAGTTGCAGCCTCTTTTCATCCAAGGAACTACAGACATGGTTTTGGATCTTATGCCTCAGTTAGAGGATCGAATATAGAACAAATTGTATGTTATCTCAAGTTGGGACCACTATCAATTTGGATCCATTCTTCCTGAAATGAAAAGTGTTTTGCTTTGTTGATATCCCAATAGGTTTCTGTGTAAACTTTGCATTTGAACTGGTTGTAGACTTCCAATAAGATAGATATAATCAGTCTGCACTGACTTACATTACTTAATCTAATGTGCAGATTTACAGAACAGTTATATAGAACACACATTGAAAACATCAATATGTTAAGATGACTATATCAACATATACTGTAAATCTAAAACAAGTTCATAAGAACATGACGTTTTTGCTATGAGGTTAGCTGATTTGTAACATTGAATTGTGCACCAGTAAACCATACAGATTTCTCCATCAACACAAGCAAGTTGTATGGAGAAATACCCCGTAGTGGGACATTATATTTTGACAGTAGCACCTACAGCCGTCAGAATGCACTGATCAGCAGTGGCAGCTGTTGTCAAACGTGTCAAAAATGTCCCTTTTGACAGAAGTCGGTCAACTTCTTTTGAGTGGGGATGGGCACACACTGATCAAAATTCAGCTGGTCCCTGCTAACAATGTATGGGTAGCCTTAGGATGATGTCATATGGGTGATTTTGTAACAATTCAAAATTTGTTTTTTTTTTTGTATTTAGTTTTCCTTGAATTATTAACACGCTAATTTTACAGTGATTAGTAGCTCAGTCGCTCAGCGAATGTGTTTTTAGCAGCAGTTCATGTCAAGCTCACCAGCGACAATCCCTCTCTGTTTACCCCTATGGCTTACCTATAACTATCTGAATAAAAACAATTTGTAGCAGCGAATGTTATTGTAATAATGAAGCAAAATGCTTCTTAACAACAAATTGCTCTCGACTACAGCGATTACGAAGCTAACTACAAGTTCATTAGTCCACACAGCCAGGCTAACGCTGCTTCAGGATGGTACACTTTGCTCCATATGCATTCACAGATCGAGGTGCCCATCAGGATCGCCTCTGAGATGCAAGATATATAAGATAGCCGCACACTCCACTGGAAATGTCAATTATTTATTGAGAATTAAAGTTAAAAGCATCACAACACAAGAGCAAAAACAGTTAGGAGGGTTGACGCTTTCCACACACAGAAGTGCTGCTTACCTGTCTGTGATCTTGTGCCGTGATGCTTTTAACTTGAGTTTTTAATAAAGATATTTTTTTTTTTCCAGTGGAGTGTGTGGCCATCTTCACTAGTTTGCTAATTACACATTGCACCTTTTTAATGGCACTTTCCCCAAAAAATCCCTATGCACTACATGTTAATCAGTGCATTAATATGTGCTTTGTAAAATAATGCTTACTATTCAAGGTGCTTTTTCTATTGCATTTATTCTCCATCATGCAAAGGGCAGGATGAACTGAGCATCGAATGCGTGGCCCTGACAACTCTCAAACAAACACTTGGTTTTGTTCCCTATCCATGCATGTGCAGTCCATTCTTTTTCACTCTCAATGAATTGTGAGAGAAAACGTACTGCTCATGAGTGTGAAAATAACAAAGTTGAGTGCTCATTTAGTTGTAGTCAAACCCACACATCCTAAACTTTATATGTCCCGTCATCGGCATGATGGAGAGGGGAGAGCAATGAAACATGCAGCTTGAAAAGAAAAGTAAGCATTCTTTTATAAAATGAAGAGCTGCATCTTATGTACTGACACAGCTGTAAGGGATAGGGATTTTTTTTGGCATTAGGGCAAACTCAACTCTTGATCACTGCTACAAAATTGCCCATGTGATATCACCCTATGAAAGGTAGGTGTGTGTGTGTGTTTTGTATGTAAATAGGCATTCATCACACTGTCCGGATTAGAATAAAACAGTGGGGTGTTCCTGGAATATGACCTCTATTAATCATAATATAATTTAGTCTTATAATGCACCATCACTTTTAGGCAGAACTTACTCGGTTATGTTTCCATAGTTATGAATACCACACAAAGGTTGTGATTTAACTCAATTAACTGGTTTGCTTATGATTCTGTATAAACAATTCCCCATTAAATAACTTGTGAATGTCAAAAGAATTAGCATAGTGCTAGGGCACCACCGATTCATATTATTGTTACTTGATGCTAAATTTATTGATGATCTTTTTTCTCTGAAACTTGAATAGATCTGTCACACTGCATTGACTTCCTACTGTGTCCTTCAGGATCTTCACAATTGAGCTTCCTGTGCTGTGGAAAGGAACATCAAGTGTGCTTGAAATAGTGATTCCTTCATAAAACACAAGATAATGAATCTAGAATATTTTAATTGATCTATGACATATTATTTTCCTTTTGACTAGTCAATAAGTATTTGCTTGCCCACTGAAACTCATTAAAGCTGAATTTCAGGCAGACATTACAGGCTAACTCTATCTTTTGCACCATGTTACAACCATATTTAGGGTGTAACATGATGCAAATCGGCTTCGCCCAGACAGCCCCTTTATTTGTTCGCAGAGATCTGTGAATGAATACACTACAACTCCCATCTTCCACCACAGCAATTGGACTTGTAGTTCTCAATGGAATATGAGATTGGTGATCACCGCACTCATGTCCAGTCAGGCTCTAGTGCTAGCTTTCTCAACCTTTTTTACCCCAAAGGAACCCTTAAAATCATCCCACTAGTACCAATTTATTGGAGGTCAGTGGGAATGTTTTTCTTATGCTGATGGCTAGTGGGAAACATTCAACCATTACAATGTTGCTCATAATGCCACATTGGTCAAAGGCCACTGCCTCTAACATGTGGCATTGGCCTAAGAACTATGGTAGGCACCCTCAAATGGGAAGTCCATCAGCCACAGCTCAAGTAACAATTGGACAGCCATGGAGGAACCCTATGGTCGAATGGTACCCTGGCTGAGAATGACTGTTCTAGTGCATTGCATGGTCTCATTCTAAAACTATGAACTTCCTGACAAGTGCAGAATGAGCAGTATGATGCTTTTTATTTGTGGTGATTCTCCTTCATGGACCAGTCTGCAAAGTAGGAGACTGTGCCTCCAAGATTTATAGTTTACCTAGCCAATGAATCTGGATTACAACAGTGGGTTACACAGAGTTAGAAAATCTTTTGGCATATATGGCCACCTATTCTTTAGGTTTGGATTGTTTATTAAAGCATTAGAGCCTCCATCAGGTTTCTATAGTGAAAGAAAAAGCCAGCACTCAACCTTCCAAACTCAAGGTTTAATTGGGTCATTTTTTCAGTAATAATATTCAAGTGTACAAAGCAAATTATGATACACTGATATTTTGAGGCTACGGCAGACTACATTCTTAAGGTGACAGATGTTACATTACAGCAGGTTTTCTCAACCAAAGTTCCATGGAGCCCTGGGGTTCCTCCATAGGTTGCCAGGGCTTCCTTGAGCAAGGAATGGAATGGCCCTTTAACATTATTTGCTGTCAATACAGAAAAACAACCTGTAATAATTACATACATCCAACCAGTTGCTAGGAATAGATATTACAAGGTCATTGCTATGAACACCTCTTTTCAAGACCAGCGTCTTAGATAACATGCAATGTAAATGTCATCCACAACTGTTCCTTTATTATCCATATCTGGTAGGTTGGATTTAAGAATGTCATACATCACTACTAGACGAAGTGATGTGTATGTTTTAGTGATTCGTCCAAAACATCATACATTACCTTTTATGTCACTAGGATCTAAGTTACACTCAAGCATGAACTGGAATGTAATCTGCTTAAACACCCTTAAGTCGTGTTTATTTTGCTAGGAGATAGTGAAGAAGCTCAGCAGTATTTTAAACAGAATCATCTGGCCTCTTTTACAAGCTGGAGATGATATGGACTATACTTCTTTCTATAGGTAACATAAGCACCTCGTTTACAATCCTCTTACAGCTGGGTACTTTTATAATTTAATTTTGCAAATCTGTATCCTGCAGGATACAAAGGTCTAGACCCCATATAAAAACACAAAGATCCTGGCATCCTACAGCAACCACAGCTTTTCTAAGTGGACCATTCAGGATCTTAAATAAATTCCTGACATGTCAAGATATATTGACACGGTATCATTTATCAAAAAAGCTGTATCGCTTGTCA